TGGTGATAATTGGAGATAATCTCACAGAGGGCTGAGAAAGTGGCTTAGTGATAGAGTTTTTGTCTAGCGTGTGTGAGGCCCTGGGTTCAATTCCTCAATACTTCCTCAGAAGTGGCACTGGGGCTCAAGTGGTAGAGTGCTCGCCTTGCGCTAAAGAGCTGAGGGACAGCACCCAGGCCCAGAGTTCAAGCCCCACGACCAACAAAAAGGAGGAGGAGGAGGAGGAGGGGGAGGGGGAGGGGGAGGGGGAGGAGGAGGGGGAGGAGGAGGAGGAGGGGGAGGAGGAGGAGGAGGAGGAGGAAAGACTTTCCTGCCCAGGCTGGCTTTGAACCATTGTCCTTAGATCTCAGCCTCCTGAGTAGCTAGGATGACAGGCATGAGCCACCAGCATATAGGCTAATCAGACTACTTTTTTTTTTTACATGATGCTTATCTCTAAATTCCTGACTACTGTTTTCCATTTATCATTTTTCTCTGATCTTTCTTGCCTCGGTAGCAGATTCATTTCATAATGGTTCCAAACTGGAAACGACTCAACTGTCCTTCAGGCAGATGAATGTTTAAACAAATTATGGTACATCTGCACCATGGTAATATTCCTCAGCATCAAAAAGGAACTGACTCTTTTTTTTGGTAGGTCCTGGGGCCTGAACTCTGGGCCTGGGTGCTGTCCCTCAGCTCTTCAGCTCAAGGCGAGCACTCTACCACTTGAGCCACAGCGCCACTTCTGGCTTTTTTTTCTGCTTATGTGGTCCTGAGGAATCGAACCCAGGGCCTCATGCATGCAAAGCAAGCGCTCTACCACGGCGTCTCTTTAGTGGTAGACCAGTTCTCTATCTTCAGGTGGTAGGGTGGTAATGACAGAAGCCTATGCATGTGATCAAATGGCACATCCGATTATCTGAGTGGTTTATTGGAGTCTCATGGACTTTCCTGCCCAGGCTGGCTTTGAACCTCGATCCTCAGAGCTCAGCTTCCTGAGTAGCTAGGATGATAGGCATGAGCCACAGGCGCCCGGATAGGACAATCTTTTCTATCCATTTTTTTTTCATCCTTCCAAGATACAAGAGATACTTGGGGCCAGCTTGTATGGTCTAGCTTTCCCTTCCTTCTCTTTCCCAGCCCCCCCTCACTGGGTTCCCCAACCCCCCCATCCCCACCCCAAATGAATATACATGATTGAAGTATGCTGGAGTTGGAATGCATAATTGCCTGAAGTCTGGCGGTAGTTAACAGCCAAACAGTCCTGCTATAAAAGAGCCTAAATGTGACTCCAAAAAAGAGAAGGTTCCATTTTAGGGGAGAAAGAGATCTTGAAGTTGCCAGGATGAGTTTGCTACAAAAACTCCCTTCTTACCCTCAATCCCCACCCGCCTAGCTATGGAGGGAACCTGTTTTTAATTTCTGGGAGCTAGGATTGAGCCACCACCACCCAGCTTTTAAAAAACAAATTTAAAATTAAATACAAAACAGTTAATTGACACAATTAATGTCCTTATGTCTCATCCCATCTATATATATATATTTTTTTTTTGCCAGAGCTGGGGTTTGAACTCAGGGCCTGGGCACTGTCCCTGAGCTTCTTTTGCTCCAGGCTAGTGCTCTACCACTTGAGCCACAAGCACCACTTCCGGCTTTTTCTGTATTATGGGGTAGTGAGGAATCCAACCCAGGCTTCATGCATGCGAGGCAAGCACTCTCCCACTGAGCCACCTTCCCAGTCCCTACCATCTCTAATTCTTACCGAGCTGCACAAAGTGGGATCTTTTTCAGGGAAGACCCAGGAAATGATAAGAGATATTTCCTGTGTCATCCAGTTGGTGAGCAACAGGGATGGGGTTTGGACTGGGGGTCCTTTGACTTTTCATCTCCTCCCAAATCATATCGACTATGCAGGATTGTCTATAAAGTCATTGGATTATCTATCTCAACAACTAAGAGTCTAGAAACACACACACACACACACACACACACAGAGGAACCTCTGGGTTGGCTATCCACTCTGCCATGTCCCAAGACACAGGCCGTCCATTCCTCATGGGGAAAGTGTAGGGCAGGCACCCAATTCGTCTTAGGAGAAGAAAAGAAACTCTTTCAAGCCAAGCCCAGTCCTTAACCCCCCCCCCCCCACCCCCCCCACCCCCACCCCCCCCCCCCACCCCCCCGTGGAAGTGACTTTAACAAATAGGCTTCCAGATTTCAGATTGGCCTCCGATAACTAATGCCTGTGCCAAAGCCTGCTGTCAGGCCCGTAAGTTGAAGCTAAGTTGAAGTCCCTCCAAACATCTGATTTTTTTTTTAGAATTACTGTGAATCCAATGAGGTGATGATTTAGAGAATCTTCTTTTAAGAGTCAAGACAAAGTCTTGAACTGATGTGAACACTTAACTTCGTCTAAGAGGTCAACTGACCTGGATCTAGGCCTTAGTCATGCCTGTCAGAAATGATCTTCTTCTATCTGTCTGTCTGTCTATCTCTTATTATTTTTATTTTTTTGCCAGTTGTGGGGCTTGATCTCTGGGCCTGGGTGCTGTCCCTCAGCTCTTCAGCGCAAGGCGAGCACTCTACCACTTGAGACACCGCACCACTTCTGGCTTTTTTTTCTGCTTATGTGGTGCTGAGGAATCAAACCCAGGGCCTCATGCATGCAAGGCAAGCACTCTACCACTGAGCCACCTTCCCAATCCCGCTCTTTTTATTTTTGCCAGGGCCTGGATGCTATCCTTGAACACAGCTTTTTTAATGCTCTACCACTTGAACCATAGCTCCCCTTTTGGCTTTTGTTTTTTGGTTTGGGTAATTCATTGGAGATCTGAATCTCAAAAGATTTTTCTTCCCGGGGTTGGGCTTCAAACCACGATCCTCTAGATCTCAGCTTCCTGAGAGGCTAGGATGATAGGTGTAAGCCACTGCATGTCTTATTTTTAATTTTATGTTTTTACAGCTCTTTTAAGAAACGGCTGCCATACACGGATGAGGCTAAGTCTACATGTCTCTTATTGTCAGGAATCTGACAGCCCCTTTGTAATTTTTTTTTGGGGGGGGGGGGAAACTATGGGATGAAGAAGTATCACCACCCTGTCTCCTGCCCCAAGTAGGTGAGGAAAGCCTCTGAACTGCAGAGACCTTTGACCCCCTGCCCTCCCCAGGCTCCCTTCTGTGGCCTGGCTTCTAACATCACTGCCGGCTTTGCAGGTATCTGACTGTGCACCTATGCCCTGACCCTCCACCCCCACCCTCCTGAGGTCCGCATCATCTCCCACTTCCCCACGGGCCAGCTGAACATTCTCAGGAAGTATCATCCCCTGTCCCCCACCCTCTCCACCCCCTAAAAAAATCTGAGCCTGGATTCAACCATCCCAGGTCCTCCCAGACTTGTGAGAGAGTAGGGACGGGACCGGCTGTGCCGGTGGCTCACACCTGTCATCCTAGCTACTCAGGAGGCTGAGATCTGAGGATCGCGGTTCAAAGCCAGCTCGCCTTGAGCTGAAGAGCTGAGGACAGCGCCCAAGCCCAGAGTTCAAGCCCCACAACCGACCAAAAAAAAAAAAAAAATAGTCGCCAGCGCCCCATTCTTAAAATTAAAAAAAAAAAACAACAAAAAAAACTTTCCAGGGCTGGGAAGGAGGCTCAGTGGTAGAGTACTCCCAGAGCATGCATGAGGCCTTGGGTTTGACTCCTAGTGCCACAGACACAGAAAAAGCCAGAAGTAGTGCTGTGGTTCAAGTGATAGAGCGCTAGCCTTGAGCACAAAGAGGCTCAGGGATATGTGGCTTCCTGGAGGCTCTGTGCCTTGGGCTTGGAAGCCAACCTCTGGAGTTGTGTGTGTGGAGGGGAATCTCTGCATTTCAGTCTTGGGGGGGGGGGGTCCTACACTCCCCAAGGCCTGAGAAGGAGGGACCGCCCCCTCTCTTCTGCCACCCACCTGGACTATGAAGCCCCGCCAGGTGGTCTGACCCTCCAGGCTCCCAGTCTCCTGGCTGGTTTGACATGGGGGGGGCTGGACACCCTGAAGCCCCAGATACCCCCATGTTCCAAACACCTCCAAACCACGGACACCCCCAATGCTTGGACACCCCAGGTCCCAGACACCCCCAAGCTCAGATACCCCCATGTCCCGAACACCTCCAAACCATGGACACCCCCAATGCCTGGATACCCCATGCCCCGGACACCCCCAAGGTCAGACACTCCCATGCCCCAAATACCTCCAAACCACGGACACCCCCAATGCCTGGACACCCCAGGTCCCAGACACCCCCAAGCTCAGACACCCCCTTGTCCCAGACACCTCCAAACCACGGACACCCCCAATGCCTGGACACCCCATGCCCCGGACACCCCCAAGCTCAGACACTCCCATGCCCCAAACACCTCCAAACCATGGACACTCCTAATGCCTGGACACCTCAGGTCCCAGACACCCCCAATGCCTGGACACCTCAAATCCTGGACACCCCAAATCCTGGACACCCCAAGCTTGCACACCCCAGGTCCCAGATACCCCAAACCCCAGACACCTCCATGACCTGGATACCCCCAAGCCCAGACATCTCAAACCCTGGACATCCCCAAGCTCAGACACCCCAAATCCAAGACACCTCCATGCCCAGGACACCCCCCAAACCCTGGACATCCCCAAGTTCACATACCCCAGGTCCCAGACACCCCAAACTCCGGGCACCCCCATGCCTGGACACCCCCAAATTCTAGACATCTCCAAGCTCTGACACCCCCAGGTCCCAGACATCCCAAACTCCGGGCACCTCCATGCCCTGGACACCCCCAAACCCTGGACACTCCCAGGTCTCGGACATCCCAAACCCTGACACCCCAGGCCCGGCCGGTTCCCGCGGTCCTGTGCGGAGCAGGTGCGCAGCCGCCCGGGTCCGGCCCGGAGGCGGCGCTCACCCCGCGGGCGCCGGGACTGTGGGGACCCCGCGCGCGCCCCGGTCCCGCGCCCGCCCGGGTCCCGCCCCACCTCCCCCCGCCCCGCTCACCTTGATGTTGCCGAAGATCGCGGCGGGGCAGCGGCCGCGGGCCGGGCGCGCGCTGGGCGCGGGTTCGAGTCCCATGGAGCCGGCGGCGGGGCCGGGCCCCGCGGGGACGGGGTGGGGGACGGGGCGGGGTCCCCCGGGCGCGGCGCCGGCTGGGGTCGCGATGGAGATGCCGAGGGTGGCGGGCGCGGCGGGCGGCGGGCGGCGGGCGGCGCCGGTGCCGGACTGAGCCGAGAGCCGCGGGGAGCGCTTATGAGAGCGGCGGGGAGCCGGCTCCTCCTCCTCCTCCTCCCCTCCTCCTCCCTCCTCCCCCCCCTCCTCCCTCCTTCCCCCTCCTCCTCCTCCTCCTCCCCTCCTCCTCCCTCCTTCCCCCTCCTCCTCCTCCCTCCTCCCCTCCTCCTCTCTCCTTCCCCCTCCTCCTCCCTCCTTCCCCCTCCTCCCTCCCCCCCCT